AGCAACACAAATCTCTTGCTGCTGTGTATCTGTAACCTTAGATGACTTTGAGGACTGAACTCTGCAGTCTATATAGCTCATCTACACAGCATTGCAGTCTTCTTTTATTGATGGCATTTCCTACTTCTGTCATCAACATATTCCAATTCATCTCCTTTATTTTGTGCTTTGTGAAGATACTACTGTGTAACTCAACAATACAACTAACATTGTTCCTGTTCCTTGCCTCCCTTACCATCTTAAAATTCCTTTATCATCTTCACATCCCCTCCTGTTTTGCTGCAATGCCTACAAAAATTTGGAAACAGTCTGACTGTAAGTGAGCTGAGAGCATTGCTCTGCATGCCAAGCTATACATTCTCTTTGTTTCCCTGTGCTCCTTCCACTGGCAATCATCTGCCTGCCCACAGATTCTAGGCTCTTTGGGGCAGGACTGTGTCTATAACCTAACCGTGCCCAGCCCTGTTACCCCAACAGAGCTGGCAGTTTAGTTACCTTTATTTAAGGCAAAATTACTTTTAGCTCAGCTCTAATTTTTGAGTAATGCACATAATTATTTGCAAGGACATGCTCTCAGATCGAATAACTGTTAAAGCCAAAAAGTCTAGCATTAGTCATACAGCTGTGTCTTGAGGAAGATTTGGTGGTTTGTTTTCTTTATATGGTTTATTTTATTGATTTGCCTGCAGTGGCAGCACTTTATGTTTGCTCCTATCCTGCACAAAGGGGTGTTGGTGGAAGCTGTGGGTAGGTTCAGAATTCTGCCATGTATTCCTGCAGCCTGGACTCTTTAAGGATGATGACTTTTGGAAGCTACTTCTTTAGTTAAATATCTGGATTGTTTTCAAAATTATGACTTCCAAATGTCACATTGCTCGGCAGGTATAGAATGAAAACGGTATATGTTTTATGGGAAATCCTCTTTTAAAATTCTGTCCCTGTATCAGTATAGAGAGCCTTGAGTAAATCAAGCTTAATGGCCCTCAAAGCCAGCAGAGAGTCTTGCTTTAAACCAGTTTACAGTTCAGAATTGTGCCTGCACATAGGCAGTGCCCTGCAGTGTTTGCCTGCAATCTGCCCCATCAGGCAGGAGCAGTAAGGGTGAGACATCAGCCCCACCCCTGAGCGTGTGGTGGGTAAAAAGAGAAACTGGTGCCCCCAGCCTGCCCTTGTGCCACCTCCTGGTGCCCTGGGGCTGCCAGCAGCCTCCCCTGTGTGCAGGAGTGCAGCTGCCTTCCCTGGCAGGGAGGGCTGCTCACCCCAAACCCCTGGGGCAGCGCTGTCCCCTCCGTGGTGTCACACCCTGGCTCTCACCGTGTCACTCGGGTGGCCTTGCCCCAGCAAAGCCAGTGATGTGGCTGTGGCAGTTCCCTTAGGAACTGGCTGTGGCAGCAGGACAATCCCTGCCCTGTCCCTGCTTTTCACACAGCCTTTGGGCCCAGGCCACGCCTGTGTGGGGTGTGGCAGTCGGGGCCCGTGGCAGTCGGGGCCCATGGCAGCCCAGCAGAGCACGCAGCTCAGCAATGTCAGTATGGCCTGCAGGAGCCACCAGCTGCAGTTTGAGCAGCTCCCAGGAGCTTCTGTCCTTCTGTCCTTTCTGTGTCACCTGGGCACCTCCACCTTCCAGAGGCTTGTGTCCTTTCTGCAGGGGACTTTCTGTGGTGACCTGGCTGCCCTGGCGGGGAGGCCTGAGGGGGCTGCTCACCTGGGCACCTCCACTGCCTCTTCCTGTGCTTTAATTCATGCACCTGAGCTTGCACTACTCTTCCTCCCTCTGCTGCAGGATGGCTGAAATGTTTTTCAGAAATAGATGGGAAAAAACCCAAAAAACAGAAAGCAATGAGGGTAAAAGAAAGCAGGGTAGATGTAGGCAACGGACTCCTGTGTGTATGGGAATGTCTCCAGTGCCGTAGGCCATTGCTACTCCAGATTCTACAAGGGTCTCCAATGCAAGAACTGACAAGCAGGAGAAAGCAGGATGGGATCCTCTCCTGAAGAGAAATTTCTGGTGCTAGAGCTGGTATAGAGGGAAATGCTGATGTAGCTGCCCTTTTCAGGATAAAAATAAATATGCTAGGAAGTATGTGGGAAAATGAGCTGGTAAATAAGAATCATTGTATGGAGCCCAGGAAACAAGGAAAACTGGGAAGATAAGTTTGATTTTAAGATAAAACATTTTTAAGGATCTGAAAGAAGATTCTTATGATGCAGGAATCATATAACCATTACATCTGGGAAAAACCTCTAAGATCATAAAGTCCAGCTGTCAAGAGAATCAGCTGCCTGTGAAAGAGAATCTAACAAAGTCTGGGGCACATAGGGAAAGTGACAAGTTCATGAAAGTATTTGAGGCTTTTGTCTGAGGGTGGTCAACAGCACAGGCTTCAAAAGGGGCCAGAAGAGCAGGAGCCAGAGCCCTGTGTGCAGTGCTGGCATGGGTGATGCTGTCATGAGAGTCCCTGCTCCACACTCTGGAGAGGCAGGGACATGATCACTGGCAGCATGGAAAGCTTTTTGGGGAGTGCCATTCAAGAAGGGTTTTTTAAGAGTGTGAAAATAATTTATTTCTGTTGGTTGATTCCTGCTGCATTTGGGGAAGCAGCCCTTGCTGGTCCCAAAGGCACTGGATAACAGCAAAGGAACTTGTAATTTCATTATTGACTTGTCTTCGTAATGGAAATAGAACAAAGGGAGTGAATATTGACAGCTGAGTTGTAAGTATCCCTTGTCTTTAATATTGGGGAGGATGTCAGTATATCACTTGATGCCTATTAGAAAAGAGTGTCTCCATCAGACAGGGGAGGCATTAGTAGTGAATGAAGAGAGCAGTTTGCACAGCATAGGGGATCCTGGCAGTCAGGACTCAATTTCAGAGGCTTGGACTTCAAAAGGCATGGAGGCAATCCCTTGTTTGATCAAAGTTCTCCTGAAACAGCCAAGCACTATTCTTTCAGAGTTCTTGGGCATGTAAGTCAGATTCTGGTAACATCTGCAATTACAGAAAATATTCTACAATTCAGATGTGTCGCATGTGGCAGAGAGATCCCTTTTAAAAGCAGCTGTGTCAGCCAAAGTATATTCTTTCCTTTCCCTTTTATTTTCTACACAAAGAAACTTCTTTGGAAAGCTCTCTCTTTCCCAATACCATGCCACTGAAATCTCACTGCCCTTTTCAGAATGGAAAGAGTTACACACAGAAGGGCAGAAATTTTGCAGCTCCTGTAACTCTGATACTTCAGTAAGGAGGTTTTCCTTTGAATGTAGGCAAGCCTGCAAATTTAAAGGAAAATCCCAGTGTTCTGTGTATTTCCAGAAAAAGGCAGACTGCATCATTATCCTTGTCCTTCTCTGGGCAGCAAGCACAGGCCTCTCCTGATGGTTTGGGAGAGCTGGCATGGGGCATACAGTGAGAAACAAGAAAAAGGCCTTTGACTTTTCATACTATAGGTTTTCATCCCAAATGTGTTTGGGCAGGTACTGATAGGATTCCTGTTAACTTCAGTCAGCTCCCAATTTATGTTGATTACTTCCTGTTAATACAGTATTTCCTATAACTAAGGGATGAAGTGCAAAAGGTTTAGCATGGGGTCATTGTGAAGATAGAGAAGTTTTGGAAATACTCAAGAGTAGGATGGGGCTTGGAGCAGTCCGGTCTAGTGGAAGGTGTCTCTGCCTGTGGCAGGGGAGTTGGAACTAGGTGACCTTCAAAGGTCCTCTCCAACACAAACCACCTGTGATGATTTGATGATGATTATTTGGATTGATGCTATAGGATGAGTTCAACTCAAGTTTGTTTTTTTTTAATGAGACATTGCTCTGTTGGTGCCACGGGGTTGGTGTGCTACAAACATGGGGCAGTGGAAGGAAAATTAGAACTGCCCCCTCCGTGCTATGTAAGCCAGAGCCTTGGAATAAAACAGAAGCACGTTCCTTTATGTAACATTAATTATGCATCTGCTGAAAGGAAGATGAGGAAGTGTATCATTGTGGAATACCTGGAGTGGATCATTTCTCTGAGTAAAATCATGTTCTGCTCTTTTACAGCAGAGATATTTCTCAGAGATCTTTAAGCTGCCATAGCAGACACTATAGGGGTGCAAGTCAGCACTGACCTCTCGAACATTTGTCATGAAAACTGGTGTGGGCTCAATGTGCACACTGGTGCTCCACTGACTTACAGCACCTGAAGATTCTCACCCTGCATGTTTAGAAGCAGGACTGCAACTGGAGTCAAATTCTGCCTTGCTATCTCTATGCAAGGTTCCATATATTGAAAATGGAAAAAAAGAGCTTTCTTAGCATGGTCTCTCAATGGACATTACTGAAAGTCAGAGAAATTAATCTTGTAGATTAATTTTATATTTTACCACCATTTCTCACATAGTGTGCTATCTGACTGCAGGAATAGAACTGAACACAAACACACTACAGTGAAAAGAGATCACAGTTAACAAAAAGCAGTAATATCAGTAAGTATCAGATTAGGTATTTTTAGTTTTAAAGAACTAGCAGTAGAAAAATGCACAAGACTATGCATAATGCTGAGTAAAAGGGAATGCTATCAGACAGGAAGGTACTTATTTTTAAATGTGCCTCCAAATAGCCCTGTTATATTAGCACACCCTTTGAACTTGGGTCATGGTTGCCTTAAGCTTTCTACCCAGTCAGGTCATCCTGTGGGTATAAATACATGCTTTAAGTTATATAAACACCATCCAATCCTATTTGCATTGTCACTCTGAGACACAAAATGCTATAATGACCTCCTTTTCCTATGTCCAGTGCTATCTATAAAGCAGGCTTAGGTCCTTTTCTTATTAAGGAGGTCAGCTCTCTTAATGAGCTTTAGGCATTCCCAGAGAGTTTTCCAATATTGCAAGGCATACCTGGCCCCAGGCAGGAGGGCTGCGGCCCTGCCAACACCTAAGCAGTGCAGACAGATCCCATGTGACAGGTTATGCAATGGAGCAGGGCTTTATATACCCTGGGCCGCAGGGCATGGAAAAGGCTCGAGGGAAAGGAGCATCAGGTGAGCAAGAGATGTTTGCATGCTGTCTTTCTTGGGGTGCTTTTGGCACTATAGCAAAATGCATTGGGCTTAATGTTATCTTTCATGAAGAGGCCAACTTGTAAAACATCCTGGGATTTAGTAATGTTTTGTGTGCTCTAGAACTGCAGGGGCTGAAATTCTACAAAGACTGAGAAATCATGGTTATTCCTCTCCGGAGAATGACACCTGGGTATATAAGATTGCTGCAGGTATGATTTTTTTTGCTTTTAATTAATCTTAAAAATACCTGTGTTTCTCTTGATCAGGTGGATTTTATTTCCAATTGTTATATGACCAACCCAAGAGAATGCTGGTTTCTTGTGGGTTAACTCAGATTACTCAAAATAATTAATCCTCTGCTGAAAAGCAAATGGATGATGACATTTCTTGATAATTGGTATCATGCTGGAATACCTAATGCAGAATATTTGGAAGGAGTTAATTCTTCTGCAGTGCTTAAATGGAAACTGCTTCTCCATAATTTTCTCTTGCAATAGCTTTGTGTGTTTGGGGCAGCGGGAAAATGCTAATGGAAGAAGGATGGGACTCAGCTGACCCATCACTGAAACACTTCAGCCAGCTTTTTGGCCATGATAAGGAAACCTCAGTCAGTATTGACCTCTGGAACATTGGGAAATCAGACTATCAAACATTATAGCATGTATAGAAAACACTTCAAATCAGCTGAATAATTGAGACTAAAGCAGCTATAAATATATATACATATATATACACCAAAGAATACAGAAGAATTCCTTATAGTATTCCATATTTTGATATTTACAGAGTATCCATCCTTTTCTGTAATATGTCACTGCTCTTAGCACTGTGATCTGCATCCAGAATCATAGACTGTAGCAGCTGAAAGGGGATAGTTGAGTGGTTGAGAGGCTGAGCTAAAGATGCTGTGTTTCAGTCCTAGCCACCTCCCTGCATATCTTTTGATATCACCCTACACAGTAATTCTGTTTGAATTTCTTTAGTCTTTATTTATTTTGTGGCTGAAGTAGCCACAGTCAGACACATTTATCAGAGCACTAAGCTCTAATTCTTTAAGCTCAATAAAAATCCTAGAATCTGAACTGAAGAAGAGGCTCCTTGGAATCTGTTGTTCCTGTCAGTGATGCCATGCTTTTCATATCCGGATTGCATGGAAAAGCATTAACAAAACAAAAACCCACTACATTATTTGAGGCCTAGGAATTATTTCACTTAAAGAAACCAAATGCAGCAATGAGAAAGACACATGTTGTATTTTAACTCAAAGTGCCAATATATATATATATGAATTTTTGTCTTGCTCTCTAGGGACTCCATGCAAATGTGTTTCTGCCTCTTGATCAGTGTATCATACGGACTAGGCAAGCAACAGTAATTTAATTTATTTTCTGATTGTTATTCAGATACTAAATAAGTAATTCTTATCTTTACTTTGCTTGGCATTTCCTGCTTCTTCATTGGACTTGACAAAGTGACTGTGTGAAAACTTGTCTGTTTGGTCTGGTCCTACCTGTGGAGGTCGCAAAGGGTTAGTGGTCCCTTCTAGGCTTGCTTTCCTGAATTAATATCTGACATTCAAGGGAACATCCTGTGTTAGTACCAAATCTGTTGGAAGGAGGAGATCTTTGTTCCTTACAGAATAAGGAAGTTCTTTCTCCTTTATGCCTAAGCCTCCACGATTCAGCTCTCTCTCTCAGCTAGCCAGAGGAACCCCATTAAAGTCACCAAAATCAATGTGCAGCAACTGAAAGGAAAATCACTATCAGAAATATGTCCTATCTTTTAGAAACTGAGAAAAAAGAGCGTTTCCAAACCATGCAATAGATTGTGTGAAATGGTCTTCAGTGGAAAGCAGAATCATACTGTTAAATGGCATGGAGAAGAAAAGAGTGTTTTGTCAGTTCCAAAGACCTTCTTTTGTGTTGCACTGAGCCGAACCAGCCGGTAACCTGCCCTGTTTCTCCCTCAGACTCAAGCTGCAGCAAAGATGACTATCAACCCATCAGACACAGCGCTGCAGCGGGCGGCTCTGCTCCTGGGAGTGTTCGGGATCAGCATTTCCAGCTACAGCACACACCAGCTCACTCAAACAAAACGATTCCCCTCGACCACTTTAGGCTGTGCTAGGATGTGACCCAACAGGTCCAGGCTTATGTCAATACTGCTGATGAGAGGCTTGGCTGCCGCTGTTACCCCGTGGAGGTAATGAGACACTCTGCAGCCGAGATTTCTACGTGCAAAGTTAAATAGATGGAAGGACTGCAGACTTCACCAAGAAAGAAAATAATAACTGCTCTCAGAAGGACTGGATTTCCAAACAAGACAAACTTTCTGTAAATATTATGGATTTCTCTTGTTATTCAGTGTATACGTAGGGATCTAAAGGGATAAAATACAGTTACTCTCAGAGTAGCTGTAAACAGACCAGTGTGGGTGCTGGGCTCTGCGTTGCAGCTTTTGCAAATTACTGCAATGTAAAGAAGAAGTTAATAATAAGCAATAAATTCCTCATGATAAGGGTTAGAACAAAAGGAATTAATCTCCCAGAGACTTCTTGCACTGTACATTTGGGTATTAGAGAATTTGGGCACTCTAGCTTTTTCTATTGAATCTTAAACATTTCTTGATGCCTTTTGAGCAGCAATGTTTGTGTATTGCAGCACAAGCTGGTAGCCTTCTGTCACAGCAGAGATGGCCACAGGCTACATCAGCCATGTGGTGTAGCTGGGAAGGCCCCATGGCTCCAGACCAGGTAACTTCATATCTGTGCAGAAATTCTCTGTTCTAGAAAGTACCAGTAAAAGTATTGGGTTGGGTTCCATTGCAGAGTTCAATATTTGGCTGTATTCTTCTGCAAAGTCAACTCATCTCATAATATGCATTCTGATTAAAATAGAAATAGAGTTTGACCTTTTTACCCTACTTCTCCCTTGTTTTCTTCTCACTTGGTACAATAGCTTATTCAGGAAAGTTCTCTTACTATTGGCTTGCTCTTTTCCAACTGTTTCTTATGTTTTATGTAAACATGGCTTTGTAGGCTCTTCTGTGCATATGTTAGCATTTAAAATCCTTTGTTCTGGGTTACTAAATACAAATATTATTTTGGGGTCGTTTTCAGTGTTTAAAATTATTTTGTCTATCAACAGTGTTTAAATTCATCCACTAAGGGGCATCCTACACAGCTGAATATTTTGAACTCTTCAGATTGCTCATTCCAACATGACAAACCATAAATTGAATCAGGCTGAAATTTTTAGTTTTTTACTTTTTAATTGTTCTTGTCCCTGTTTGCCTTTTGCTCACCCTCTCTAAGAAACATCTCTCCTCCCTCCACAACTTTTGTTAGATGACGATGAGAAATTCAGTGTTTACAAGGTGATTTTTTTCACTGTGCAAGGTCACAAATTGCCTCCATCTTATATAGACTTCTGTTTATATTTTTAAAAAATAATCATATAATGAAATATTCCATCTTCTGCCTTCACCTCCAAGAAATGAAACAAAACACTTGGACTCCTTGACAAAAGTAAGAATGAGACCTCTGGAAAATATTCAGTCACAGAGACTGATGTTATATAGTGTGACCCCACCACCACCCTCAGTATGCCATAATTATGGATTTTTAGTCTATTACAGGATTTTTGGCTGCTGCATTTTTGTTAACTGATTTCCTGCTCCCATTCAACATGAATATAAGACCATTAGCTGTTTTCAGGGCCATTAGTATGCTAATGCAAGCTCTTTTGTTAGATGAAGACTATGTGCAATAACATCATTTTAACAAGATATACCAGAACAAATTAAATGATGACTTGGCCACTGAGATGTTCCCTTTGGAAATGATGCTCATGAGGAATGTGTACTTTTCCATAAGAATTGTTTTGAGTAGTTTTGAAAGCTTTACCTAGTACCAGTGAAAATGACAGGAGGAGAACACAGGCAATAGGCACACTAAGTGTGGAGAGATTTTATAAATGTAGGGGCCACAGGAGCCTCAGGAACATACAGTGAAGCACAGGGAGCTGTTATTCAAATTATTTACAAAACAGGCATGTTTCAACTTGCTTTTGATGAATTGGGCCTGGGCAGAAAATCACCTTCATGTGAAAAGTTGGGACTGCATCCAGCAGATGTAGGCATTGGTATGTAACCTCTATGTTCCTGTAGAAACCTACACCCAAAATGTCAGTTTTCTGAAGAGCATCTGCCACCTCATGCCAGGCACAACAGACAGCTCTGTGCCCTTCTCTTTCAGTCCTGTGCCTCCCTGGAACACCTTTCATGTTTCTCCTCAGCCAGGTGAGGCTGGGGTGTGTGGAGCACCAAGGCATCAAAACCTTGTGGAGGTGGCAACAACACGCCCATCTTCTTCATCCTTCCCATGACTGCAAGCCCAGCTGTGGGCTGGAGGGTGCCCAGAATATGAGTGGAAGCTAAAATCCTGCATCCCTTTATGTCCTGCTGTTTGCTGGAGCAAACACTCTTTGGCAGAGGAAGGAAAGGCACCTGCAGAGGTGCTCCCATGGAGGAGCCTGTGGCACTGCACCTTCCCTCCTGCTGCTCTCCTGACATGGTCCCAGGGGCCCTGACTCCCAAAGGAGGCTGGCTGTGAGAGCCTGTCCCTGCTCTGCACCCACTTACAAAGAGGCAAACAGGACAAGCTAAAACCTTCTCCTCCTAAGTGCCTAAGTGCCTGTTAGCTAAGTTTTCCCACTCTCTGCACACAGTGTGCTATGGATTTGGACCTTTCTTATGTTTGCCATGTTTATAGACATCTAACAGAAGCCTGCAGGCTCAGTATGCGGCTGGGCTCCCAAAACCTGAGCGGGATACTGCTCCACGCTGCAATTCCCAAACCTGCCTGTAAATTTTCTCTTCAAAGCTCTGAGCACTCCAAACTTCAAGCATATGTTTATGTCCTATTGAAGTCAAAGGGGGTTTAAGGAACATCCTTATATCCTTTGCCAGAGTGAGGTATTTAATCTTTTCCTTGATCTCCACCAAAGAAGCATTTACATTTTAAATATATTTGTACTTTTGTTTGTATGGTTTTACTTCAAAAATGTTGGCAATTCATCAACAATTGAATGCTGATGAAAGTCAGGAGCCTAGTGAGCTTGGGGACGTTAATGCTGCATTACCTAGTTTTAAAAAACACCAGCAATGGATTTCACTCGTCATATAAATTGTTATGTTTGAGGACTTACCCTCCAGGAATTACTTTGTACCTTCCCTAGCTTCTAAGAATATTTAAATGGAAATACTATTTAGGCTAGTAAATATTAGACCTTCTTTACAAATACACTTTAAAAGCCATTTCATAAAATTTATTGGATTGGTTTTACTTCTAATATCAGGCAAATATAGGTTAATACCTCCTAATACTGAACAATTGTAACTCAACTAATCCACTTCTAACAGAAGTAACTTTTCTAGTCTGAATTATGTCTTGATATATCAAGTTAATTATTTTATTCTTTGAGGAGGAATCACAGGAGATTTTATAGCTGTTTGATTTGTATGCCTGAGTCCAGCTCCTGAAGGCAAGAGAAATGAACCTATTAAATAATCAGAAACTCAAACATGGTTGTTACTCTTCAGATAGATGTAGCACAGACTGGAGACTTGTTTGTGATAAGCGGCATTGCCAGTGAATATCACAGAGCATTCAACTCTTTTCACATGTATGTGCTCAGTTATCTAAAGCAGGATTTCCGTCTCCTTCCACCAGGACAGGCAACAAAGGGCAGCCACTCAAGGTAGCACTCATCCATAGTAAGGAAAGTATAATATAAAGGGAGTGCCTGACACCTTCATGCACCTTCTGGAAATTATGTTTCTGCAAACTGCTGCTCTACACCATTATTTATCTCTAGAGTTGCAGATTGTGTATCTCCCATATACCATGGTCCTGGAAGATGAAGTTGAGTTTGCCTTACCCATCAGTGGGTGCTCCATTTCCTACAAGGTAGTGGTAATGCCCTCATGGGGCTGAGTCCCTAATTCGTGTATCTGACTGAGAACAGAATGCAAACAAGCTGAGAAACCCTCCATTTTAGACCATGCATTTTTGCTAGTGCCAGATTCATGGAAGTCTGGCCTCAGATCTGAGGTTTCAGATGCTGCTGTAGTGGTAATTGACAAATTAATTAAATTAATAAATAAGACTGGGGCATTGACACTGTGTGGGAGCTTCCTCCCTGAAACCTTCTGTGTCTGCACCACCTTTTCAATGGCAGGCCGTGCAGTGGGTTTGTCAGTGGAAAAGCTGTGTGTTAGTGTCCATTCACTTCCCTGGCTTCACTGGAACATGGCTGCTGACACTTAACTGAGAAATGGTTTTCCCTGTGCAGTGCAATGGCGCTTCCCTATGGATATATCAGTGATAAAACAAACAGAAGGAGATATTAATGCTTGTCACATATTTTCTCACCTTGAATAAAATGCCTTTTCCCCTCCTAGTTATGAGTAGTCAATGACAACACAAAACAACACCCTCAAGCAGTCTTGCCTTTCATATGACTTTGTTGTTATTCTTCTAGAACTATCTCAGTTTAATAAGGAGGCTGAAAGGTAGTTTAATCAAACAGTAGATTAATAAGGTTCCTAAGGCTACATTCACTTCAGCTTTCAACTTAGTGTGTAATCATGAGCTATGGAGTGTCACTGACTTTTAATCAGTGCCCGTGTCTGCAGTGGGTGTGTTTGTAAGCATAAAAACCAGCCCCAAATGGCCCAAAAAGAGCTATTTCTTCCCCTCCTTAGCATCATTCTTGAAAGTGACCTTTCTAAGAGCATAAGAATCATTAATCCACACCTTTTAAAAAGGTTTTAGGAACCTCAAGTAACGCACAGCCACTGATGAGTAACCCACTGATGCCACTGCAAGAGGGACACTGGAGTCAGAGTAGTCCAAGGAGGTGTCGATGCCAAGCAGGGTGAGAGATTGAATTAGCTCTTAGGGGTGCTTCCATGTCTTTCCATTGAGAAACAACAGGTGAGATCCAACTCAGCTGACACAAGCAATGGAAAGTTTGGCCAAATCTGCCCACACCCTTAGCTCTCAATGCAGAGAGCAGAGACAGGTCCTGGGCAGCCTGAAGGTATTTTGTGATTAGCTGAAGGAATGGGAATGATTTTCTTGCATGTCAAAATACTTAGTGTCTGAGGGTTCTCCAGTTTTTCTGTAATTTTCCTGACTAGGAGAAGGGACTGTATCTCATTGCTGCTATTTAAACCAGAGTAAGGAAGAAATGCCAAGGCAGAGTTACCCTGCTGCTGAGAAAGATTTTTAATCTTTTTTAAAAAAGCAAATGACAAATTGGTTTGTCCTTTACTCTCTGTTCTTCAGTAATGGATTACAGGAACTTGGAACTCTTGGCCCAAAAGAATGGGGGCACATAAATCCAAACTTGCTGAAAGCTTGAACAGAATCATCACTGGCTAGGAACAGCTCAAACACCATGGGCCTTCCCTGTCATAGCTGAGCCATAGTCCCTTTTAAAAAGTGAGCTCTGCCTCAAGGCAAAAGGAAGCACACAAGGCTGTACTCTGCTCCACCAGGTGTTATTCAGCTGCACTGTGACAGATTCCTGAGGGGAGGAAGGGCAGAGGAATGGAACCCAAAACCTGGCTTCACTGTGGCCCTCCAATGGCAGAGGAGCCCCTTGGCTGCTGCCTTGGGCCAAGACAACCAGAGCATGGCTGAGCCTTCAGTGAGGGGCCACATGTCTGTCCCTGCCACAGCTGCTGTCTCCTGCTCCAGAGCTGCTTTGTGGCCCCTCTGCAGTTGTGGAGATGTGACTGACCCAGTGTGCCTGGCTGTCTGTCTGTCTGTGCACATAAGGGAGAGAGGGCAGGAGCAGGCTCTTGTGCTCAGGTGCAGGTGGTGAACGCTGCAGCAGTTTTGTGCAAATTGCTGCCTCCATCCTCTGCAGCCTCCCATTGGGCCTGCACTTTGCCAGCACTGGCAAAGAGCTCCTTCATCAGGTAACTCCCAGTCCCCTTTTCAATCACTTGCCAGCTACATCCTGTTCATTAGCCCCAGAGCTCACCTGAGGGATTATTTGTCATGCTCCATCCCCAGCTGAATTCAGCTGTTTATTTGATAGCAT